TTCTGAATATTCAGTGCAAATAATCCAACGCACTGTGACTAATGTTCAATTATATTCATTGTCAGACAGTTTAGAAGTCAAAGTCAAAATTTCAAAATGAAAATAAACGATCGAGCTGATCGTAAGTGAAGTTCACCTCGAGGATATCGATAGCAGCTGATTCGAGTGGCGTTCCTTGCTCAAAATGATTAATCGCTTGATTGAAACCTATGTCAGCTTTGCTCAACATACTCAGTAACGCTGATGGCTTCACCTGAAAATCGAAACCATCACTTACATCGAAAGAGAATCGAAAACAATGAACTCCACCTATATAATCTGTTGTAAAATTTCAAATATCATTGTGCTGAAGTAAATTGTCAAAAAATTGTAAAAATAGCAGCTGTTCATGCGGTATTTGGGTTTACAAGCAACTCTTTTAAACAACTGTGCTTGTGCGAATTCGTACCGTTGTCGGTGGATTCTTCAGATGATCAGGATCGAGTCTGTACGGTGATAATCCGGCCGCATCTCCACCAAGACCTATAGCCGGAACTGGTGGCGGTACAGCAGCACCCGGGAACAACGGTGGACCGAATCCATCACCGGTCGGTCCGTTGCGATTCGGCGTGAGCGCAGACTCACCAGTGAACATCGATTCATCAACATCTGAACGATCACTTTCTTAATCATTGAGCAAATACTCAACATCAAAGTTAGAACAATTTCCTTCTCAATAACTTGAATTTGATAGCCACCTGATCGAAACTCTCTCATTGAGCTCGTGGACAAAGTACCACCAAAAACAACTTACTTCCTGAGGATCCGCCCGGAATTAGGCCAGAACCACCGCTGCCGGAACCGAATAGATCCGGTGACGAGCCATGTGACGAACTTCCGAAACCACCTTCAAAATCGACCGGTGGTGCAACGGCTCGTAGACCAGAATTTTGTGGTATCACCAACACCTCTTCCTTGGGTGGTGGCGGAGGAAGTGGAGGAAATATGACATCCGTCGTGGTTGCTGTAGGTGTTGTAGTTGTGGGTGGCTGAGTGGTCGTTGACTCCATTGTGATGGCGCTTAAAAGTATGCGATAAATTGAGTAATTTTCATAAAAATGAACTTAGCTGGTAATCTGCGAAAAAACATGATAGAAATGTACAATTATTACGATTGAATTAAATTTTCAAGTACATGATCATTCGCCGTAGTGTGAATAAGTTTCATGCAATTAATGCTTAAGCTGTAAGATTGCTGAAGATATTGCAATTGTTTGTAATTTCAGTTATTCCGTCAAGTCGAGTTCATTTCAAGTAAGAAGTCAAAATCTGATTTGATCAGCTTGTTAGGATATCAACGATTATGATCTTAATGATGAGAACAGCGGAATTTATTATTTCTGATGTGAGATAGCGGTCATCTCTTTTGAATATTTCAGTATTTATTCCGCAACATTCCTCATCTTCGTATCCATTTCAAACTCCCCAATTGTTCATTCAGTATCTGCGTGTTGGGAATGCAAAACTTACGCAGTCATATCGGGAGTCGGCGGTAGAATTTGTGGTGGAAGTTCAGTGGCAATATTGACACCAGTTCCAGCCAGACCGAACGTTCCGCCTGAGCTAAAATCGACCGGTGGTTTTCCGAAACCTCCTGCGCCGAAACCGCCGCCAAACCCTAGGGCATTATCGCCGCCACCCACACCACTCTCAAATTCTTGGATGCCACTTCCGATCGCAACACTGTTCTCACTTTCGTGTGAAGGCTCTGAAAAGAATGGCAGTGTTAAACAAACACTTCTATTCTGTGGAAATAATTGGCATGTAACTTCGAATTCAATATTAGATTACTTCATTTTTGTTTTTAAATTAGCGATGAATATCAATAAATGAAAATTATTCCATGTTTATCATATTCATCAAATTTTGGCAAAAATCAATCCATAGACCATTTTCAGGAACATCTTATTATAGCATCTTTAAGGTAGTTACTCTGAACAGTCACACCCTCATTGTGTTCTTAGATTGAGTTAAAAATTCAGTTGGAATCGCCGCTGTACTCATCAATGCTTTTTGCTGTTTTTAACAAAGTTGGAATTCCATTTAAAACCCTCTTTCAAAGAGTTGAAGTGTTCGCTCAAACATTTATTTTTTCTTTTCTTAAACCATAAGATATGTTCTACAAAATCGACATATGATCAACCAAATCGTTGAGAAAATCAAAGGGTATGGGTGGCATGAAAATAGCATGTCACAGCAGTGCTTACGCTTATTATTAGCGCGATCTGGGCTTTTAAGCTAGGGATTTTATATGAAGCTAGGTTCCGTGAGAACTTGCAGATCATATCTTTTGATTTCAGAAAAAAATTATTTGGTGACGCGGCAATCTTTCAACTTCTCAAGATATACGTGTAGTTTCA